AAAATTCCTACACTTTCAAATTAGAAATTTCCAAAATTCAAGTTTTCCGAATTTCAAAATTACAAAATGTACTGAATTGCATAATTCCAAAATTTTTCAAATTGCAACATTTCCAAATTTCAAAAATATAAAAATTCCAAAATTTCAAAATTCAAAATTTCAAAATTCAAAATTTCAAAAATGCCAAAATTTACCAAATTCCATAATTCAAAATTTCAAGAATTCAAAAATTTCAAAATTTCTCAAAATTCTAAATTTCCAAAATTTACCAAATTTCCAAAATTCTCAAAATTAAAAAATTTACCAAATTCCAAAATTCCCAAATTTCAAAATTTCAAAAATGCCAAAATTTACCAAAATTTCAAAAATCCCCCAAAATTTACCAAAATTTCCCAAATTCTATAATTCCAAATTACAAAAATTGAAAAATTTCCCAAATTTCAAAAATTCAAAATTTAAAAAATCCCCAAATTTACCAAAATTTCTCATAATTTACCAAATGCCAGAATTCTAAATTTCAAAAATTCCAAAATTTACCAAATTTCTTAATTCCAAATTCCAAAAATTCCATAATTCCAAATGTCAAAAATTCCCAAAATTCGAAAATTTACCAAATTTTATAATTCCAAATTTCAAAAATTCCCAAATTTAAAATTCCAAAATTTGAAATTTTAATAATTCTCAAATTCAAAACTCCCCAAAATCTCAAATTCACTATTTCCAAACGCCAAAATTTATGATATTTACAAATCCCAAAACGCAAAACATCGATAAATAAATTCCAAACAACTATCAACACCAATGACATCAAAACCTCTCTAAACCTCTTTAAAGTCGCCATCGCCTCTCCCAAAAATTCAAGAAATTTCATCACTCAAATTGCATCTGAAAAAAAAATTCCACGTTAAAAATTTAAATAAACAACGCCTACATTTATTATAAGAGCATATATCATTCGAAAGAGCATATATCATTTTCCACGACGAACAAGAATACAGAGCGGATGTGAAATGTGCTGTGCACAATGGACGATTAGCGATGAATCAGCTGATTCGATCGATAAGACGTTTCAGCGTTTCCTTCCTTCATCCCTGTTCGAGAATGGATCGTGGAGAAAACGGGAAAAAAGCGACACGGGGAAAAGGCCGAGCACAAGAATCGGTGGTACTCATAAGTCAGCCAGGATATAACAGGTAAAACAGGTTTGTGGGCGTCCAGAAATGTGGGCTACCTGCATCGGTTTTCGATGGGATCCTTCTTCAAACTCGCCTGCCGATTCTTGCGGAAGAAAACCGAAGAAAGGGGAGAAACGGGCCACCCCGTGCACCTGTTTCGTTAAACCGATTATTGTCTCTTGGGTGCAGTATTTTCCAGTGATTTTATTGCAATAATTATTATTATTAGTTAGGCTATATAATTACTTTTAGACTGTAGCAGTTTTTTATTTACTTCTTTTTGACAGAAAATGACGTTTAGGTTATACACATTATTGCACGACTTGACAGTGTAATCGTTAAATACAAATTGGCGCCATTTTTAAAACTTTCGTTTAGGTTATACAAATTATTGTCCAACTTGACAGTGTAATTATTAAATACAAATTGGCGCCATTTTCAAAACTTTCGTTTAGGTTATACAAATTATTGTCCAACTTGACAGTGTAATCGTTAAGTACAAATTGGCGCCATTTTCAAAACCTTCATTTCCATGCATCGCTTACAAAAAAATTCTTAATTCCACTACTCAAGTCATTTTGTAAACCCGTGGTTGCACCGTTTTACACTCCACAGCGACAACTTCATTTTGTTGTTGACGTCACTTCGCTATAAGCCACGTGTCATCGAATAAACTTATCAGTATATCTTGCAATTACTTCCTTAACAATTATTATTATTGATTTATCTGAAAGTAACTCTTGAAGCAGAAACGAATTGTGTTGGGAAACAGTGAGTATTTATTTCAAATAACAATACATAGTGACTGTCATATTTTCCGACGAGTGCTTGATCGCAACTTCACTTCATGTTGCGTAGTAACAGTGTTAGGAATCAATTTATTTAATAAAGTTTCTTGAAAATCAAGTGACGGTTTAATTACAACCTATTTCCAATAATTACTTTGTTAGTATCATATAGTATCATATTATCATATTGTCATGTTCTTATATCATTATAATTGTTATAAAATCATAATTATAGTATTAATCTTGCTGGAATATTATCATTAGATTATATTATTGTATTGTTATATTATCACAGTATCATTTTGCCATATTATCACATTATCATACTTACATTTTAACATATATTAAAATTTATTTATTAAAATATACAAATGGTAATATGTATTAAATATACAATATATATAACATGTATTAAATATACAATATATCTACTATGTATTAACTATATAATATATATAATATCTCTATTAAATATACATATCACAATATGCATCATAATACAATTATTACACAGCTGAAAATATCAACAAAGTATGACGTAATATCATAACACAATACCATAATCATACTGCTAAAAACATTAGAGTCATATCAGTACATTATTATAACATGTAACAGTATAATAATGACATAATATTTACAAGAAACGTAACAAAAAAATTATCAGTCCGATTTAAATAATGTATGCATGTGTAATAAAACAACGCACGCGAGACACTTAGTCGATTCGACGTGTCTGAAAGATGGCCGTAAAGACGTCTTTATGCAAATTCGAATAAGGAAATAAAACAGGCACACACAGATCATTTTAATCGTTTGCGTCAGTTAAGGAGAAAGATTATTCACTTGTATCGAAATAAAACGAGGAAGAGCTCGTGATCGAAACGATGAATATTGCCCGAACAAACAAAGATTTCGTGCGACAATCGACGGAAACAAAGAGAAATTATTTTTCGGAGATTATTACGCTATTGATTCGTTATCTCTTATCGGCTTATTGGAATTATTCGATTCGATTACTTCCACACGGTTTTTATGATCTAACAATTCTACCGGAACGTCATATTCTTGTTTGTCTGTAAAAACTAACACTTTTTCTCTGCTAACCAAGCCGGATACTCTTCCTTGAATTACTTCGTTATCACTTTGTTATCGCTTCTCGTGACTCATGCGCAGTTTCATTCTTCCGATTAATTGTAAACCGTTCTGTTCAATCTTTCCGATGGTAAATAGTCGCGTTCGAAAGTGAGGTTAGTTTACGTTACGTGTCAAAGGACTTCACTGAATTTTTATTTATACTTATTGTTTATTGCCCTCATTGTTATTGTACGTTTATTGTTTTATCCCGCACTCTTATTTTATGCTTTTTATTGAAACCACTGATTTATTTTGCACTTTTAATGCGCGCATTTTACGCACTTTACGATCGTAGGGCAACTGCACCTAATATGGAACAGCGCCTAATATGGCACCGCGTCTCCGCAAACAAGTAGCAGAATCTGTGACCGTGGAAAGTATTTCGTTATGAACAGAAAATTAGTATTAAAACTTTAGCTTTATAGTACAAAAGTTTCTGAAAGGTAAGTTAAATATTTAAAACTTTTAGTGAAAGTAAATTGTGAAATCTCTGTATGATTTATCAAATTTATTTTCGTGGAATAATTATTTTGATGACGAAATGGGGACGCAGTTGAGTGTTATGTTATTGTTAAAAGTACATATTGAGTGCATACACATTGCTAATATTATGTAGTATTATGCTTTTATCTTTCTAAGTGCGTTATAGATAATAATCAAAATAATGGATCCAATACGTGTAAACGTATTTTAATATAAATATTAAATTTTGGAATTTTGAAATTTCAAAATTTGGAAATGTGGAAATTAAAGTTTCAAAATTTAAAATACGAAAATTTGAAAACGTAAAAAATTAAAAATTGATAAATTTAATATAAATATTAAATAAATTAGACATTTTTTTGTAATTAAATAAATATTCGTTTTTTATAAAATGTAAATTATTGTTATTTCTTTTTATGTATTTTTAACAAGTTACATATCAAGTGCCATTTTTATAATTTATCAATTCTGAATATTTTTACAATTTTTATCATAATTTCAGGATACTTAAAAGAATTGCATAATTATCTGTTAATATGCAAATGTATAGTAATTTTAGCATATTATAACGGTAATTCGTTAGAAAGGAAACGTGTCACTATTTTTAGGAAGCTTTTAGTCAGGTGCTACATATTAGGTGCAATTATCGATATCTGGATATATCGAGAATGTTGTTGACATATCGATAAGGCGAATCGAAACAGGTGTGATTGAAGTGGATGTGAATTTCCAAATCTTTAAATTATAAAATTCTCAGTTTTTAATTTTTTAAGTTTTCAAATTTCCATATTTTAAATTTTGAAATTTTTTAATTTCCACATTTCCAAATTTGGAATTTCAAAATTCTAAAATTTCCAATTCCAAACTATCAAATTTCTAAGTCCCAAAATTTCTACATTTCAATTTCCAAATTTTCAAATTTCTAAATCCAAAAATTCAAGAATTTCCAATTTCAAAATTTCAAATTTCTAAATCTGAAAGTTTAAAAATTTCCAATTCCAAAATTTCAAATTTCTAAATCTGAAAATTTCAAAATTTTAAATTCCAAATTTTCAAATTTCTAAATCCGAAAATTCCATATTTCCAAAATTCTAAAATTTCAAATTTCTAAATCTGAAAATTCCAAAATTGCAAAATTTCACATTTCTAAATCCGAAAATTCCAAATTTCCAAAATTGCAAAATTTCAAATTTCCAAAATTGCAAAATTTCAAATTTCTAAATTTCTAAATTTCAAAAATTGCAAAATTGCAAAATTTCAAATTTCCAACTCCCCATTTCCTCAAATTTCCTACCTCAAACCCCCAAATTCCCAAAAAGTAAAATTCCAAACGTAAAATTCTCACACCTCCAATTTACAAATATGTAAAAGTAAAAAATTTGCAAATTTGAATATTCAGAATTTATATTCTTTTCGATACCGTTAACCTTTCTGAAATTTCATCGCTGAATAGATATCATTGTTATTTGCATTTATTTGATATTTAAAGACATTTCATAACAAAGATCGTGATACAATCACCTTAAGAACGTGTAATGTTAAATTTAATACTCGTTGCATACCACCTGCATTCCTATTCAATGTATCCTCTCCTTGTTCGTACTATCGATATTATCGACATATCGTTGAAATCGTTGAAATTGTTAATCGAGCTTTAGGACAGAAAAATGCATTAGACAATAGATCTATCTTGTACTTCATCTATGGATAATGTCGATAATCTGTCGTCCAAATATCGATAGTCGATAGTCACATCCCTAACCTCAATTGATTTAAATATATTCGATGTTCCGACTATTATTTATTACCTTTTCTATAGTTAAATATTGATTAGGTATCGTTAAGGTACTGGTAATCGATAGTCGTAACTCCAGACTCAACTAACTATAAAAATTTAAAAATATATTAGATAATAAAATTGTTACGGTTACATATCAATATCGATAATCGTCACATCTCAACTGTCAAAAAAGTAATAGAAAATACATTAAACGATCAATTATGTATTTTGTCTGCATCTAAATATTGGCAAGGTATCAATAAAATATCAATAGTCATCTTTAGTCTGAATCAATTGAAAGGTAATAAGAAATATATTAGATAACAGGACTATTACATCTGTGCATAAATATCAATAAAGGTACCGACAAGTTATCGATAATCAATATCCATCTTCAATACAAACCTATTGAAAAAAGTAACACAAAATATAACAAATGATAGGTTATGTATCTCGTTTACAGATAAATATCAATAAGGTATCCATCCTCAACCCGACTGAAAAGAGTAACGAAAAATATATTAAATGATAGGTTTATCATACGTCCGTCCTTGGCTAAATATCAATAAGGTATCGATAACCGATAACCATCAGTCTGAGAAGAGCACTGAAAAATATATTAGATGATAGGTTTATGATGCGCGACTGTAGTTAAATATCAATAAGGTATCGATAAGGTGTCGATAATCGATAATCGCATCGGCAGTCTGGACGTATTTAAAAACGTAGCGAACGGTTCGACCTCGGGGAGACATTTGAACCCGGCGAGAAGCAGGTCCGCGTCGCGTCGCCAGTCAGAATCGCGATTACGAGGAAGCTACGAGGAAGTCGGTAAAGCCGCCCCTCCATCGTTCCACGGTATTTCCCACTCGATTACAACGCTTCGATTATTTCCGTTCGCGCCGTATAATCGTCCATCTATCCGTCCTCGTTCGACCCGTTCAACTCGTACGATCCGGTGGTCCATTTGTCTCCGTTCGTCGAACGCGTAATACGGCGCGGTTAGTCGCGCGCATGCGCTCTGCCATTATTCCGTGGGGGCGCGGAGTGGGGGGAGTGGCGGCAAGCTTCCAGCGGAGATCGCGGTTCGCGACTCAGTCGTTCGCCAGCTCCGACACCGGGTGGATCTGTTTCGTCGAGACGTTATCCGGTGACTTTCAACGGCCAGCCGGACAAATCGAATCGTGTCCGAGGTGAAAGGAGATCCGTTTCGTTCGTGTTCCGCGTCCTCCTCGAGTCCGTCTGCTCTACCATATTAACCCCCCGTCTTCGATAAGACTTCGACGAGAGAGACAGGAGTGTGATTCGAGTGGTGCCGATACTGTGATACACACTTAGCCAACTGTAGATAGGCTCTGTGATATACGCGTGCACACATGGATATTTCCATACCTCTGGACTTTTCTCGTTATATCGGAATGATACTCGCATGAGAGATATCGGAAACTATAAACGTTCGTCGCGGATGCTAAGTACGTACGTTGTGCGCGAAGATCAAACGAACGATAGTATGCATGATCGTTACGAGCTATTTGGAGTGGATGTATAAATATATGAAGAAGAGAATCGGAGAAAAGAGATTCGAGGCGGAAGAAAAGATACACGTGGTCGGTCGGTGTCTCGAGGATACCTGTGGATGCCAGCCTGGAGTCGCGACGTATTAGGGCGCGGATTTCTGCCCGATGACCGCCGTACAGATTCGTTTCTACTTGCCAGCCGATCTCCAACGCTGATACTACGCCGCGTCAGATGGTTTATCGGCTAAGCCGCAATTGAGGTAACTACTTTATTGTCTTTATTTCCTGCGTCTTCTTTCTTGCATGCACTTCCGCGTTACGCTTCGTTTCAATACGATACTGTTTTTAACCCTTTAACCACGGTTCTCGAATCTATTCTACATCGCACATTTCGCGTCGGTTTTTAACCCACTTCAAAACAAGATTCTCGATTCGACGCGCATGTACACAACGTTTTTCAAATAGACCAGCATTTTAGTAAGAAATCGGTGGCATCTTTATACATATTTTTATTTTATATTTATATTTTTATCTTTTATATTCAATTTATCTCTTCATACTTATTATATAGTACATTTTTATTTTTGTGTATATATTGAGTATTTCTGTTTTATGAATTATGTATTCCCTTTATGAAGTATTGTAATTTTTTTTATACATGTAGGTATTTATTTATGTTAAGTGTTTATTTAAGTGCAGTTTATTATAGTTCTTACTTTACTTCTGTGGTATTTATTTTTACTTATAAATTATTAGAGTACAATTTTGTATTTACATATTTATTTAATATTATAGTATTTTTACAAATTTATTAAACAGTGTATACCTCTTTTAAAATATTTAAGCTCGTGAAAAATAGTTCTTTGACTAACAAACCATTGTGTATTTTCGAACGAGGAAAGTGTGTTTAACTTTGACAGGGTCAAATGTGACCCTATCATGGATCTTGAGAGTTGACTGATGTAACCAACTATTTTTGGTCATTACCAAACATCCAGTAACAACCGTTATTTCATAATGGTTTCATGTTTGGTTAAACCCGCTGAGGACCACCTGGGTGTCTGGACACTCAAAGTCTCTCTTGAAACTTTAAAATACGTTCAGTTTTGGAAGAGTTATGAAACACAGGGTTTGTATACAAGTCTGTAAATTAACGGAAGAATATAATGTAGACAGCCGACGTAATAGTTTAGACTAAACTTCAGTTTGGGTTGTTTGAAATTATGTGCACTGCAATGATTCTAATCCGGAGCGTGGAAAATGGTGGTCTTTGGCGCGCAAATTTGAAAAATGTTGTGATTTGTTATTGCGTCAAAAATTTAATTTTTGTTTACAGTTTTAGCGACTAACAGTAAAATTACCGTGTTTTATATTTTCTTTTTAGTGTTCGCATGGTTGTATTACAAACTAGAAGAATTTATTAATGAACAAATTTACTATTGTCTGAATGTTTGCATGTTTCGTATTACCAATTTTGTAAATACACGAAATTATGATATATAAACAACAAAATAATTTCTGACAGTTAAGATTACTGTGTGATTTATTAACTTTTGAAAATTTTTGTTTATGATTATATTATAAACTTTGTAAATATATTAAATGATGATAAATAAACAAAAATTAATTTTTAACAACTAACATTAAATATTCTGAATTTTTAAAACATTTTGCATGTTTGTGATTATTATATAAATTATAATAGTGTTCTAAATTTTGATAAGTACAAATCATAGATGAATGAAATAATAATTTCTAAAATTAAAATTACACGGTTTCTTAATTTTTGGAAATTTTGCATGAACAATGTATGCATAGTTAATTTTATAAAAGTGCATATCGTAATAACGGATAATTATTTTCCAAGTTTCTTTGAATCACCAGCTTTTTAATTTAAATAACGCGTTGACGTAAATAATGATTCTATCTTGGAAATGATTTGAAACACTAAGGTTCTGAGTCATGTGAATTTTTTTTAACTCGCTGTCGACAACCTGTCTCGCATAGTTCAGCAAATTACAGGCTAAATTAATAACGCTTAGAATTATGGTCACGATCGCTATCGGCCGCATTGGGAATAGAGTTTACTCTTTAACTTTTGATTTGGTTTAATTACCCATTCATTTTATTCTTAAAATTGCACGCTGCAACCTCCATGCGTTCTTCAGAATATTCTCATGGGTCGTATCATACCCACATTTCGCACTTAAATTAACATTTGTAATTGCACTGTATTTTGTTCTTGAGCTAACGTTTTGAACTTGATACAATCTTGTTTAAAAAAATTATATTTAGTGGATTATTGAAAAAATAAAAATCACTATTATAGTAATTTATAGTTATAATTTTTATTATAGTAATAATAATTTAGTAGTAATAATACTAATAATAATTATTTAGTAAAATGTTTGTAACAAAAATAGCAAAATAATTTATATAAATTAAAGAAGGTATAGAAATGACATATTAGGTTGGAAAAATGTAGTTTTTAATTTTTATAAATACATAATAGTAAGAAAATAATAAAAGTGATATATTTTCTACTACTTTTAATTATTTAAAAATGTAATGTTTGACTTAGAAAAAATAACATAGTTTTGAATGTTGCAAACTTACATTTTGATAAGATCTAAGAAAGGACTATAATTTTAAATGGAAAGTTGTACTTTATTTATGAAAGTTGTCATTGCTTTATAACTCACCAAGTATCATAATATATAATTTTTAAAGATTGCAAGTCTAGTAATTAATTAAATATTATTCACAATTTTTGTACAATTTTTTTAAAATTTAATTTCTAATTTTTTAATAATTAAATACTGTTCATAAACAATTTCTACATAAAGATTGTTTAAATTTATTTTCTAATTACTTTATAATCAAATATTTATAAACAATTTATAATATAACAATCCTTTTTAAATTTAATTACTAACTGCACAATAATTAAATAGTTTTCATAAATACTTTTTATATAACTTTCCTTAAAATTTAATTTCTGATTACTTAATAATTAAATCTCAATAATAAATAATTTATACATAATAGTTTTTATTAATTCAATCACTAATTCTTTAATAATTAAACATTTTTCATAAATATTTTTTATATAACATTTTCAAAACTTAATTTCTAATTACTTAATAATTAAATCTCAATAATAAATAATTTATACATAATAGTTTTTATTAATTCAATCACTAATTCTTTAATAATTAAACATTTTTTATAAATAGCCTTTATATAACTTTTCTCAAAATTTAATTTCCAATTACTAGATAATTAAATGTTACCCATAAACATATTAAATTTATTTAATTTCCAATTAGCTCACAAATAAATATTAATCCTAAACAATTCATACAAAATTTTGTTCATTTAATTCCTAATTGCCTTACAATATTTGCATTTGTATTTTCTCCACATTTAATTTCTAATTGCTTCACAATTAAATTCTATTAGCTTGATATTTAAATTTATTCTTTCCGCGTTTACTGGAAGTAGTAATGCGTTGTAGTGAACACTTTGAAAACCTAAATCCATTCGCTAGTTTGTCAACTATAGTCACATGTACTTGTCATAAAAAACATATTAACTTAAAGTATATTCAGAGTATACGCTTATTTGGATATTTAAATTTTCGCGGTTATTTTGACGGCCGAGTTCGAAAGCGTCCTAAGTGCAATCTATTATCGATGACGTCAGAAGCCGCGAAATTTCAAATGTCCGAAGACAGTGCCGGTAATTACAACGAATTATTAACTAGTTAATACAATAATTAATTAGTATTAATTCGATATATACCACCAAAACAACTTCTTCGAATCCCTACACAAAATATAGAGCAGTAAATTGTTATGTAATTTACATAGTCAGATTTCCTGAATCGCATAAACAATGTTTTCGAGCGTTGCAATAAAATATAAAATTAATTGAATATTTTTTCGATTCGAAGCATTTGAAATTATATTAAGCTTCTTTGATGACAAATCTAGTTATTTTGAAAGCACATTTCTTGGTGAGAAGACGATTCCTATTATTTTAACAGAAATTGTAAATTTAACTTTGGACTTCAGGTGATACATTTCCACACGTATATTTTTAATTTTATCGACTCTGTTGAATATCCGAATTCAAACACAAATGGACTTAGACCACTTTCAAAATAAACGACTGATTTATTGTTAAACCGTTGACTCAACCAAGGATTTTCAAGAATAGCTTAACGCTGCGAGAAATTGTCCTAAACTGATAACTTGTAATTATACGCGGCTTATCATCGAGCGTGTTTATCGAATTTAGGCACACTGTAAACACACTTCCTTTCCGTTATTTCATTTTTTCTTATACGGCCGAGCACGTGTCAATATAATGAAATTCTGCGTATCATCGTGGTAAAAAATATTTTTAAAAATGTTTACTCGTGATTATCGCGAAATTAATATTCCGGATGGCCAGATGAAATTTGTACGTGACTTTTTATCGTTTATTTTAACGAATAAGATGGACAGGGGTTAAGGTGATATTATTTTGGATATCTTTACTTGGGATGATACTGCAACTTATTAATTTTGTGTACGCGATTTAGAATGATTTTTAATATTTAAATTTATAATAAATAATATTAATTTTTAATATGGAAATTTATATTTATTGTTGATAATTTTTCATTTTTAAATTTGTAGCAAATAATATTAATTGAAAAGATGTAATTTTATTATGGTTAATGCTTATTTTTAATTTATTAATTTATAGTGGTTAGTAGTGATTTTTAATATTTAAATTTGTAATAAATAATATTAATTTTTAATATAGAAATTTATATATATTAATGCTGATTTTTAATTTCTAAATTTATACTATTTAATACTGATTTTCATTATTTAAATTTATAGTAAATAACATTACTTTTTAATATGTAAACTAATAGTGATTTATATTAATATTTAGTAGGCTTGTAAAATTGTACTGACTTTAATGTAAATAATGATTCATAATAATGGTTTTTAATACATAAATTAATAACTAAATTTTAATATATAAATTTATAATAATTTAAACTAAATATTACTGAGTAAATTTGTACTGAATTTTAATGCATAAATTTATACTAAATTATACTTGTTTTAAACAGAAAAATTTATAATTATTTTTAATAAATAAATTAACATTGATATATACTGTATTCTAATGTATTAATTTATATTAATTTTTAACATGTAAATTAATACTGATTTTTATTACATAAAATTATGTTAAT